AACATTTCTACTTACTGCTTCCTACTTGTTCCAGACATTTAGTATCTATTAACTTTTTAAATTCTCAAATAATATTCTGATACAAATATTATTTTATCCATTAGGAATCTTTGAGTTGCCAGCACAGAAGATGTATTAAAAATTACAGAGATTTGGGACCCCTAGGTGGCTCAGTCAGCTAAGCGACCAACTTTTGGTTTTGGCTCAGGTCATGCTTGCCAGGTTGCGAGATCAAGCCCCACGTGGGGCTCCGCACTCAGCAGGGCCTGTGCTTGAGGCTCTCTTTGCCTCTCCCCCAGTCACTTGTTTGTGCGCACACACTCTCTCTCTCAGATAAATCTTTTTTAAAAAAAAATTAGAGGTTTTATTCACTTAATTGAAAAGTCTAGAAGGGAGTCACCATTGAGGCAGTTTGTGATCCAGTGGGTCAGGCATGTCACCGGAAACCATTCTCTTTCCTTCACTCTCTTCTGCTTTCCATGATGATTGCTTCACCCCTCATCTGCCAGTCCTCATGATGCTACAAACCATCTTATATACTTCCAGGGGCAGAGAATGCTGCTTTCCTGGTGCTTCTCTAAAAAACGAAAGTTTCTTTCTCCTCCTAAGCATCTCCTTGTGTCTCAGGGCCCAATGTGCCTCTCCCTGAACCAGTCACTTGGGGGGGTGGGTGGAATGGGCCTCATTCATTGTGTTGAAGCCAGTCTAGGGCCACCTTTATTGTTGAGGGTTAGGTGAATACAAAAATAGAACGGCAGGAAACTGAGGTGACAAAGGCAAAATAGGTATGTGACAACCAACCAGTCCATACTATAACTCTTTCTTTCTTTAGATGCCAAATAGCTTGAGCAAAAATAAGTTGTAGTAGTATTGTGTGTGTGATGCTCTAGGCAGAGGCTTAGTGTTTTAGATGCATTTTAGTCTTCAAAACCATCTTAAGAAATAAATGGACTTTATCCTTGTTTTAAAGAAGCTTAGAAAGATTAGGGGCACCTGAGTGACTCATTGGTTAAGTGCTTTCAGCTCAAGTCATGATCTCAGCATTCTGGGATTGAGCCCCCCATTGGGCTCCCTGCCCAGTGGGGAGTCTGCTTCTCCCTCTCACTCTGCTGCCACCCCCTATTTGTGCTCTCTCTCTCTCTCTTAAAAATATAAATAAAATCTTAAAAAACAAAAACAAAGATTAAACAACTTACCTAGGGCCACATAGGTAATCAGACCTAGGTCATTCTGACTTCACTATCCACGCTCTTTTCACCATGTCATGCCATCTCCATGGTAAACCAAAAATGGCCTATAAAAACAAATATTGTCTTAGAAACCTATCACTGATGAAGTATTCTTGAAAATAATCCATCTTGTTTTGGTTTAAATGTATAGTATATCTGTATAGAGACAATCCTTGTTAAGACAGATTTACAAAAGGGAATTAATATCTTGTTTTGCCCACTTTGAACACCAAGATCCTTACTATAGTGGGAATGGTAGTCTATACTCTCTGCATATGCATACACATACATATATGCAAACACATAAACATAGGGAGAGTATATATAATTATTGTGTATATCACAGATTCTAAGAGAGGCTCTTTAACTGGGCATGTGATGAAAATGACAGGAGAATTTCAAAGGAACAGATACTATCCTCTACAATAAGTGACAGTGCTTACTAAAAACTCTATCATCTGATGTCACTCTCCAGGTGTTCTTTGCTTAATTGTAATAATCAAGTATTGTGCCTCAGGGAACATCCTGGCCCAGTCTGAACTATTTCCTGGGTAACTTTCCTTTAGTCTCAAACTCTGTCTCCTGGGGAGTTTACTTCTTCTTACGCTTACATTTGCCCAAGGCTCAGGCTTTCAGGACTGAATCACAATTATTTCGTTTTCATAGAAGGCTTTGCTTCTCTGCAGTGCTCTGTAAGACACTGACTAGGGCTGTGGCATGGTGCAGCTTTCCTCCTTTACTTCAGATCATTCTGTGTCTCGAATAACTAGAAGTTGGAAATCAGTTTACAATTTACTCTGATAATTTAATGATTTTAAGCAAGGAATTTCTCTAAGGCAGAAATATTGTTGGATTAGCTAAGAGGCAATCAGACAATCCTTGGTCTGTATCTTTGGCTGTGTCTCAGTATTTGGAAAGAGCTGTATGTCATTCTCCTTTCTAGTACTTTACCTTTATTGACTTGGCACCATTGTTTAGGCAATTTGTAATGCTAAGTGTTGTCTTTTCTTTATTATATTATGCATTTGTTATTTTAGTTTGATTTGCAAAGAAGCAGTCCTTGGTAGATAATTTTTTTTTAAGTGATGCAGTTTTTAAGGCATTAGTGTTACAGAAGCATCTGTCAAAATGAGCTCAGTCTTAAATGCACTAAGTTTTATTGTTGGAATTTAAAGAATTTTATGGCATCCATCCGGTGCCATTGATAAGATATGTAATATCCTTTTCTCAACACTATTTTAACATTGAACAAGTACTTAAAAAGCATAGGTCTCACCATTAGAGAGCGACTAGGGAAGAAATGTCAAAATGAATGAAAAATTATTCTTGTCTTCATGGGGAGCTTAGAAGCTGCAAAAAGAGATATGTACACATTGTTTACCCATTCATTCCAGAGATGTTTATTGAGGTATTATTACATGCTAGACATGGTGTGGTAGGCTCTGAAATGATAATACTAAGCAGCAGAGGCACAATTCTCTTCCTAGGGTTTACCATTTGGGGCAGCAGTTAGGGGGTAAAGGAGGATTCACTGAAGGACTAAATTTTTTTTTTTTTAAGATTTTATTTATTTAATCATGAAAGACACAGGCAGAGACACAGGCAGAGGGAGAAGCAGGCTCCCTATGGGGAACCCAATGTGGGGACTCGATCCTGAGACTCCTGGGACCCCAGGATCATGCCCTGAGCTGGTGGCAGATACTCGACCACTGAGCCACCCAGGCATCCCCAAAGGAGTAATTAAAAAGGAACAGGAGGCAGATGGAAAAGTGCTTCAATTTGAGCTAACTTTTGGAAAGAAATATTATGATTTCACAGAACACTGAGGTTATGTCATAGGCTGCTTTAGCCCAAATTCCAGAAAAGCTCTTTTCATTTGTAAGCTATTCCAAAGCTTAAACAAAATGCTATGTAGTTTCAAGACCAGAAGTCTGCACTTTTTCTAAAATAAGCCACTACATATCTAACAAAATAATAAATACATGTGAATATTGGCCCAAGGAATAACTTGAACTAAATATTGATTTCAAATCCACTTAATTGACACACCTATTAAAGTAGAGAAATCATTGGTTAACTTTGATACTTGCTGTTGCTTTTGTGTATTTTGTTCAGAAAATTAAGTGTAATAGACTATTTCAATAATCTTCTTAGTAATTGAATACATTTAATACTCTTTTTAAAAGAACAGAAAAAAGAAATTATCTGTCACTGTTAAGGTTATTTTTAAGCATATAGCTATTGATTTTGTAAATGGCCCACCTAAATTGCCTAACACTTGATTTGTAAATAAGAGAAGTTAGAGAAAGACAACATTATAAGTAGAGTTGGGCAATTGTTTATTTTCCAGGTACTCTCATTAAAGAAAAAGCCATTAAGTCTCCACCTTTAGAGTTGCTCTATTTAAGGAAACCTGGATCCTTAAGGACTACAAAATTTAGGAAATGGCTATTAAAATGCTAATCCCTCTTGTAAAATTCTGGCTTAAAATCTGAGGGCCTAATAGAGAAAGTGGGAATAATTTGTTTTGACAGAATATTCATTCTAATATATTTAACTTAAAAAAATGCAATGTACTCTATACTAACAAGGAAGATAATCGAGCCTTCCCCTAGCCTTTAATGCTATGTGAAGAATGAATGCACAGTTGAAGGTCTACACTATTTTAATATGGTTGTCACCAGTGATAGGTGGCTCCTCAGCTTCTGAAATGTGGCTAGTGCTTCTAAGAACTGAATTTTGAATTTCATTTAATTTTAATCAATTGAAAATGGGTATGATTCAGTTATTAGAAAATTTTAAACATGTTTGAAACAACTTAGGCATGTGAATCTTCTTTTTCAACTATAAATTTTATGAAATCTAAATACAGATCAAATATTTGAGATGTCCCACAAAGTATAAAATAAACCATATATTTTAAAGATTTAGGATGATAAAATGTAAAATATTTCCACTGTAATTTTTATGATCCATACTGATATATTTTGGATATATTGGGCTAAAGAAAACATATATTCTTAAAATGAATTTCTTCTTTTTTGTTGTTACATTTCCAAATGTGGCTACCAGAAAATTGAAAATTACTGTGTTGTATTTCTCCTGGACTGTGCTGGTTTAAGGAGTTGCTCTAAGATATCACTCTGCTCAGTTTCATTTTCCCTAAGATAGAAAGACTTAGACTTCTTCTAGTTCAATTTCCTTTGAGATCTAAGTTCTTTACTTTTATTATGAATTGCTCAAAAGACATAACACTACTAAGGGAAATTTGATGCACAAAAATACAGTCTGGCTCAGTGATTAAATCATATCAAAACCATAGCTCCCTCACCCCACCCCCAGCTCTACCACCAGTGACATAATTATCATAAGCAGTCACTGAATCTGGTAACTAATTTGATATAATTTACATTTTAAACTCATAATAGTTATAATCTTTTATTTGGTATTAGAGAAAATAAAATTTCACAGAAAATTTTAGCCAGGCAAATTGGTGAGAAATTACAAATAGAAGAATTGTGTGAGTTTGATTGAATGTTGTGTGTTGGGTAAGACACAGTGTGAAGCACTTAAAGTACTTACGCTATATCTTAGGTTAAGTTTATGCTGTTTTCTAATAGATGTGTTCTTTTCATATTTTGTTTTATCCTCACGTCAAACAAAATGGGCAGAAAGTGTGGCCAAACATGTAATTTTTCCTGTCCTGTTCTGTATCTCTAGTAAGCCATACGTCATGATTATATCTCATTGCTCGTCTGTCAATTCTTCTAGGAGGTGATTTCCTGTCCTTTCTGAGAAAGAAGAAGGATGAAATAAAACTCAAACAATTAGTGAAGTTTTCATTAGATGCTGCTTCTGGTATGTCCTATCTCGAGAGTAAAAACTGTATACACAGGTAAGGAGAACATTTTTTGAACATTTTCTGGTTTTGCCATTAGAATGTTAGGAAAGTGACATATTTGCTGCAATACAGCAATGAAATTCTTTCGCAAAATTATTTTCTTGTTTTTCATATTCTGTGGGAAAGCCTTCTCTGATAGTTGTTTCATATAGTTCACCGAAACACTTGTTTTTTTCTTACCTGAAGTGAGTCCACCCAACTAGACAATGAGCTTCCTGATTAAAGTCTATTGTATTATAATCATGAATGACATACCGATAAGATGTACACAAGTTAGTCACGTAATCAGCTGTAGTCTTACAGCTAAATAAGATTGCTTCCTGTGCTCCCTTATTCTCATTTTGTAAGAAATTACTTATAAAGTTATGGAAGAGCATAATAGTAAAACAACAGTTGATGATAGTGAATCGGCCAAGGGTAGAAAATATTAACATAATGGTCACTTCAATGGAGATTTTAGAAAAGGTTATCTAATCACATTAAGAGCAGTGACTTGGTTGTAATGCTTTTATAGATTGTGGTTTTAGTTGCTTAATAGCTGAAAATGTTCTTCACTGCTGAATGTCAACACAACTTAAGATGTCTTGCAGAATTCATGTGAGATCCCAAGTATGGCTACGTGTATACAAGCAAGATGAAATGGGGCATTGATGCAGTCAGTTCTCATTCACTGGAAACAGCACATGATACTATTTGACTTGGAACAGAGTTCATTGTCAGATTGAACTGTTTTGGACTTTATCTAAATTGGTTCCATTGTTGAAGTCCATTTTTTTCTGATGTGTTTCATTACGTAGGCTTTGACCTCACGTTCTGGTAAAATCGTATGACTGATGTATTTTACTTCTTATGATGACAGATCAAATCACATTATAGCAGAACAAAGGTATCTTCACCTGAGATGTATGTCTGTGTGCTCTCAGTGTGTGAGCGGCGCGTCCCATCTATCCCATCTCTGGCCCCTGGCCCCTGCCTCAGTTCCTGAGTTTGGCCAAGAAAGAATCTAGATCCAAACTCTCAAATAAACAAGAGTTTAATAGCAATGACAGCAAAAGCCCACTCTCGAGGTGGACAAGCAGGCAGGCCCAGAGACAGCAACTGCACCAGGGGCTGGAGTGGTCTTTCTTTTTTTTTTATGCCTGCAAGGGTATGGATCATAGCTAGGTGGTCTCTGACTAGAGTTGCCACCAATCATCCAAGGTCTCCTCCTGCAATAGGGACGGGGAGTTTTTGGCCCTACATGGTCCTCCTCTGAGCTGTCATGGAGCCATCCCCCTGCAAGAGGAGGGTGAGGTCAAAACCACTATGCAAATGTGTTATCGTGAAACTATAACTTATTGTAGGGCAGCAGTTACAGGGAAGAGTTTGCATGTGCCCCCAGTGTTTCTCCTGGCTGGTTGAAACTTGCTTTCTGCCCTTCTTAATGGTCAGAAAATACCTGTTCCCTGCTTATGTCTGGCTAACTGCCTACTCTATCAAATTGATTTTTCCAAAAAATTTTGCCACCTACTCAATTTTATTCTAAAATTAAAATTATATCCTGTGTTTCCAATATGGCTCAGCAGTCACATATATTTTAAAATACATTTCAATATACTGTATTTCTGGAAATTAAGACAACTAAACTTAACCACTGTCCTTGTATTTTTCTTTTACTTCCTATGATGAGAGATCAAATCACATTATAATAGATAATTTTAAATACTTTAAAAAATATTTGATTTTGCACAAAAATTGCATTATCATTCATTTCATTAGGAAAACAAAACATTTTTTGTTAAAAGGGACAATGCAGGGTTTTGCTCTTCATTTAGAGAAAATCTCTAATGTTGGCTGCTCATATGTTAAATCTACTTCAGGCATCAAATTCTCTATCCATAGTTACTCATTTTGTCTCAGGTTTGTTTTCCCAAACCATTAGACTATCTAGAGCCTTAGAGTCAGTGAATAAACAGTACTGAAACTACTTAATTAATTGTCAGTTACCAGTAGCAGTCTTTAATTTCTGTTGCATTGTGATTGAGGGAATTGTTTCAATTTCTTGCTACTTTTGTGGTGATTGCTTTTCTTGCTACTGGTTGACTATATTTTTTTAAGTGCCTGTATCATCAGAATTGAAACTATTCTGTTGTAGATGACAGTTAGCTTTTAAAAATTGATCTTACTCACCGAATCATAACATTGTCTGCTGTCATGTTATTTTTCCATTTTCCTTGTATAGAATTTTCATGCATTCAAAAATTTTAACTGTCAACCCATGCTTGAGCATGTATCCCAGAAGGTTGTACCTATACCTTTAGGATTTGCCTGTGGGGAAGGTTTTTGATTGACTATCTTAAACAATACCACTGAAAGCAGGTTTGACAAATAGATTTCAGTTTCCAGTGGCTCTCTGTGTTGTGTATTGAGAAGGATTCTGGAATCAGCAGCAAAGAATCCAGTGATTGATCAGTCACATCTGTTAGGGCACTGATAAGCATTAACACCATGCCCCATATTTGTCGTCTGTGGCATGACTATTTTCTTTTTGTCTTTAATCAATGCTTTTCTTTTTTTTTTTTTAATGGTTTTCCTTATTAGCTACATTATAGCAATGATGTAATGTTTTTTCTCCCCTCACTTCCATTGATTCCTTCTAAACCACCTGCTTTTCTATTTTTCCTTCTTAATCTTGATTAGTGGTTGAATTTTATGATCCCTCTAGCCAGTGGTCTTTTGTTACTCTTGAAATTTATGTAAATGCTCTTTTGGATGAATTCATTTTCTTTTTCTTTTCATTTCAATACCTCACCAACACGTGACACTATGTTGAGTAAATAAAATATTCTTTGTGTTGAATTTTTTATAGAAGTGAATTGTGCCATAGAACCCTATTCCTATGTGTCATCCTATGAAACTGTTTCTGTGGTAGCAACAGTAATTGCAATGGATGTCAATTGATTTATAGTTAAAAGATGCACTCAAGATACGTTGTGTTTTTTTTCTCCTAAGAAATACCAAATACAAAAATATAAATATATAGTATTCACTACAGCGAAAAGTATTTTTTCCTCATTGGAAAACTTTCTAATGAGGTATGTTAAAAATTGATTAAACATGATCGAAAGTTTTGGTTTCCAAGTAGTGAAGAAAGGCGCACCAAGCCATATTCTTAGCATCCCCAAATATTACTAAAATATATTACTAAAATATTATAAAATATATATAAATTGTGAAGTCTTTGTCCCACAGATCAAAGCAAACATTTTTAATGTGCTTTAAATTTAATATGAACTTATATACTGTACACCCTGTTCAATGATTCAAAGAAATATTTTTATTTCTTAAAAATATTTTTAATTGTCTCTCCTCAAAATAATATCTTAAATTGGGGGGGCACACATTTTCTTTCTTTAGCTTTGTTTTATTGTTTTGATTACTATGAAAAGAGCAATGTTTCATTATAGATAAGTAAGTATGACAGCTGTAAAATGGAAAGGAAGTAATTGCATAAACAAATAGCCTGCTTTTGGAAATGTCCTTGTTGTAATTTCCATTTAACTTCCAGAAGGGTTCTCTTGATACCCTAATTTCTAATTGAAACTATTTCTGTTTATAGCTAGTGAATTGCTGGATATTTTGTGTTTCAGTGTAGTGATAATCATCTGCATTTTCTTTATACTATAGGCCAATGTGAAGTCTTCTTTCCTACTTGAACTTTATATGAAGATTTGAAGTATGTTGATAAACTTTGGGCTGTGTGTGTATGGTATGTTACTAGATTGTTAGATGCCACTCTAAGAAAAGCATTAAACCTGATTAATTTTGATGTTCAGTGGATCGAAGCTTGGCATTATACTAGATATAAAGGGAGTGGCATTTATGGTTTTATTGCTGATGAATCTTACTCTACACGATTTATTTTTATTTTGGTTTATTTCTAAAAGTTGTCTCTCTGCCATGTTCTTTGTTGTCTGAGGAAAGTAAAGAGAGGATAAGCTTTTGATTGCATGTGTTTGCGTTAAAGATCAATCTGTGGGATTTGGGGAGCATTTCTTAATTTCATGATATTGTACGTTAATACCAGAAAAGTTGTTTTTGGAGAGATGCTTGTAGAAAATGATTTTATTTTCTAATTTTAAAACTTGGACCGATTTCTCTTTGTTTTTGGCCACTTTATCACAATGATGTTCTGTCATTATGGAGTAAGGCTATTAACTCCACAAATTAAAGTACGTAAGATCAGATAGATTTATTGTTTAATAAGGGTTTTGCTTATCCATTGAGAATGAAGCTATTTCCAGTACTTTGCAAATGTGAACATTTGCCTACTCTGTGCCTACTCCAATGTCAATAAGATTATCATTGTCCCTGCCTTCGGGTATATGTAATAAAAAATTATTATGCAAAGAGATAATTAATTTAGTGGAAATAGGTGCAAAATGCCATCAGAGTACTATTAAGAGGGTCCAATATAACCTTTCAGCATGGGGTGGGGTATCATGGGAGTAATCGGGACTATGTCGAGAGCAGTCAGTAATTGTAGAAGACACTGTTTGAGTGAGACTTGGTGTTGCTGAATGGAAAAGGAAGGAATATTCCAGCTAAGGAAAAGTTAACAATATTTTTCATGAAAAAGCAGGACTTAATCATGAGACTAAAGAGTTCAATATTATCAGAATGGGAAGTCTGAAGGATGGAGCCAGGTAAACAGGGTCATTCTCACCAAGGGCCATGTATACCATTTAATTCGGCTAAGCTGCAGGAGTATCAAGCCACATACTGGGATGATTTTATTTATTTTTTTAAAGATTTTATTTATTCATGAGAGAGAAAGAGAGAGGCAGAGAACACAGGTAGAGGGAGAAGCAGGCTCCCTGCAAGGAGTCCGATGTGGGACTCGATCCCGGGTCTCCAGGATCACGCCCCGGGCTGAAGGTGACGCTAAACCATTGAGCCACCCAGGCTGCCCTAGGATGATTTTAAGAAAGTTAAAATGCTAGGATTTTTAACTG